AGAGACTTTCTGCAGATGCTCCTTTGCTTCCTCAGATTCCTTAAGCTTGTCTTCTAATTTAGAGTATTCATTTTTTAGTTCTTTATTTTGTTGAAGTTGAGCTTCCAGCAGTTGCTTTTGCTGACAGTCCTTTATGGATATTACTTGGTTCAGGTCTTCCCTATACTGGATCAGCTCTGCGTCAAGCTTGGCATTCTCAGAATTGAGATCATCCATATGACTTCTCAAGCCTCGAATTTCTTCCTTAAGCTTATTATTCTCAGCAGCAGCCTCTTGGATGAGTTGGTCTTTTTCCAAGATTACAGAGAGATGTCGCTCTTCCAGTTGTTGATAGTCACCAACTATGCGGTCTCGATCATTCTGGAGAGAAGACATGGATTTAACGAAGGAATCCAATTGAGCCTTTTGCTGAATGTTTTCCTTTTTAATAGTTTTCAGTGTTTCCATAAGTTGATTTGTTTTGTCAACAGCTTTTTTGTTCTCCTCTTCTAAGACAATATTCTCCTCTTCCTCTTGGGACAGCAGGTTTTCCAGTTCTTTAATTTCTTTATCATGTTGCTGATGGAGCTCAGCAAGAGCTACTTGAATTGCCTCTTCCTTGCTAGAAAGCAAGCTTATAATCTTCTGTTCTTTCATATGTATTTCTTCATGTAGCCGACTGGTCAGCTCTCTGGAGGCCTGAAGATCAGTTTCTAGTTGTTCATAACTGAACTTACAATTTTTTATATCAGCCTGTTGCTGCTTTATTATCCCTTCCAAGTTCTCTTTCTGTTCCTTACATTTTTCTAAAGAGTTATTTAAATCAGCTGACTGGTCTCGGAGAACCTTAAGTTCTGATTCCAACCTAGCTAATTCATTTTGAGAATTATGGTATAGGTGTCGAGTCTCTTCTAGCTGGGACAAAAGTTCTTTGTTTTCCCCCTGTAGAGTATTACAGACCTTCTGCTGAAGCAGGACCTCTGTCTGGGCCTTGGACTCCCAAATTTGCTTGTCATGTTCAAGCCTAAAGAAAAAAAGTTATAGATTTCAAGGAAATATTACATTATGCCTAAAGAACAAATACCACATGAACTCAACACATCTACAAATAAATCAATAATCATAACTGAAGGTGTTAAGACTTAGTTCTCTACCTCTACACACTTGTTTACTGAGTTCTCTGTATTAGACGTTATCACACTTATGGGTTCATATATTTAAATAAGAAGCTCTATAAAATGTTATTTATCTGAGTGACATGGTTTTGAAAAGAAGTATTTTCTCTATTGTACTCTACTTTGTTCTCACAAGCTAATGTCTGACCTATTTAAGTTAAAATATTGGTACGAGAGAGTGAACAGAATAGAAGGGTCCTATTAGTACTGAAGGAATATAAATGTAAGGGACATTTTTAGTTCCTAACCTTGAAAAGTAACAGAAAATTAGAGTTTAAGAAAAATAACAGATATATGAAGTATGAACTGATATGGACTATGGGGAAGAAAAAAGATGAGATCATTTAGGACAGTGCAGCAATAATTTCAGAGTACTATGGTAAAAAATCCAGATAAAAGTAATTGAAATGGAAATGAAAAGAAAGAAGGGTGTCTAAGAGATTTCTCAATAGAAAGATGAGAAAAGAAGATGTTTTATGTTAATGTAAGTTGTAGCAGAATATTTGCAAAAAAAAAAAAAAAGAAAAAGAGAAAGGAGAATATATGTTTTAAGGAAATCTAAGTGAAAATTAACCTTAAATTAATTTTAAAGGGAAAAGAAATAGTTTAAATAGAAAGCTTTTTTTTTTTTTTTTTGAGACAGAGCCTCAAGCTGTCCCCCTGGGTAGAGTGCCGTGGCTTCACAGCTCACAGCAACCTCCAACTCCTGGGCTCAAGCGAGTCTCCTGCCTCAGCCTCCCAAGTAGCTGGGACCACAGGTGCCCGCCACAACGCCCGGCTATTTTTCGGTTGCAGCCGTCATTGTTGTTTGGCCGGTCCGGGCTGGATTCGAACCCACCACGTTAGGTGTGTGGCTGGCGCCTTAGCCACTTGAGCCACAGGCACCAAGCCAAATAGAAAGCTTTTTGCTTCTAATTACATTCAGAGAAGAAAAAGTTATTACTCATTTACCTGGAAATGTTGATCTTTAATTCCTCCATATGGATGGACATCTGTTTAAGCTGATCCTTTAGAACACTGCAATTCTCTTCTTTAAGTCTAATTTCTTCTTCTTTGGTTTGAATTGCATCACCAAACTTCCTCTCCCACTTCTTAGCTTCATCTATCACCCTGTCTCTATCATCCTGGAGGGAAGACATGCTCTTAGTGAAGGCAGCAAGTTGGGCCACTGTGCTATCCAAGTTTCCCTGAAGTTGCTGAACTTCCTTGTCTTTCTTATTCAAAGTAAGCTGAATTTCTCCAAATGTCTCTTCTAGTTGGACTTTTTCTCTATGCAAAGCATCCAGTTTCTCTTGCATATTCTTCTTCTCTTTCAGGTGTTTCTCTTCTGCCTGCTCCAATCTTCGCTCAAGATCTTCATCCTTCTGTTTCATTTGGCTTTTAATTGATTCTTTATTTGACTGAAGTTCCTTTTTCAACTTGAGATTGTCGGCTAGAACCCTTGCTGCTTCACTCTGAGTGTCATCTAGCAGTACTTTGAAGTTAGCTAATTCTGCTTGTGCCTTGCTGCGGTGTTCAACTGCTTGAGCCAGCTTTTCTTTGGTTATTTCCAAATCCTTTTGGGATTCAGTTTGAACAAATTCTAGGGCTTTAACAGTTCTCTCTAGAGCACTAATTTTCTCTTGATACCTGATACAGTCCTTCTGCAGTTGCTTTACTTCTTGCTGTTTTTCTTTTAACAGTTCCTGAAGTTCCTTTGCATGGCTTTTATTGCCAGGTTCTTTCTGAGCACCCTGTATTTTCTCCAAATATTCCTTTCGTATTTCTGATTCCACCTTAGTTTTCTCCTTGACCAACTGCTGCTTTTCTTCCTCCAATTCACTCATACACTTTTTAAGGTTCTGCATTTCAGATTGCAGTAGCTCATTTTTTATTTGGGCATCTGTAACATCCTGATAATAATTGCCAATGCTTCCATTAAGTTCTGCTAATTGATTCATAAGCCTCTCTTCCAAATCATCTTTCTCTTCTTCTGCTGTCTCTTTTAGTTTGGTGACTCTGGAGAGTTCTTCTTGGATTTGCTGATTTAACAGGTTTATTTTGGTTACCTCATCCTGAAGCATTTTTAGTTTGTCATCCTTTGTTGATACCTGACTCAGTAAGGTATTTCTCTCATTTTCTAAAGTCTGGCTAAGTTCTCTGTCTTTCTGCTTCTCTGCCTCTAATTCAGCAATTCTTTGATTGAGCTGATCAATCTGTTGCAAGTAATTATTAATTTTGTCATGTGAGCTAAAATCCTCACTTACATCAGGTTTAGCACCGTTCTCTGATAGAGCAGATTCTGATTGTGCAGGCCTTGGGCTCATACTCAGGGAGTCTTGCTCTTTCACCTCACTTGGTACACATTGTGTTCCCTCTTCAAGCACATCCATTTGGTTATGTTTTTCAGGTGCCTCTAGACTAGCTTGTTTAGATGCAATCTCTTCTCTCTGATGCTGTAAGTCTTGAACCTCTTCACTTAGAGACTTTTTCTCAGCCAGTAAAGTCTTAAACTCCTCAGAGAGGGTTTCATACTCTATTTTGATCCTTTCGAGTTCTTCTTTCATGCTGGAATTGGAAGAAATAAGTGTTTCCATACATTCTTTAGCTGTACCCCCTGCAGGGTATACCTCGGCTCTAAGCCGCTCATTCTCTTCTTCCAGCTCTAGGATTTTCTGTTGCTTAGATTTAGCAAACTTTCTCATCTTTTCTTTCATTTCCTCCATTTCTTGCTCAGCTTCTTGCAACTGCTTTTCTATCTCTTTCTTGTTTGTTTCTGCACTTCTTAACTTGCCGTACAGTTCCTGTTTCTCTTGCCTCACAGTTTCCACCACATGCTGAATCCTTTCAGCTTCATTGCTAACATTCTCATAGGACTGTAGCAGAATTTCATATTCTTTTTGTAGCTCCTTGTGTTTCTCTTGCCACTCTGTGCTTTCTGCAATCTTAGAAGATTTCAAAGATTCAATTTCCTTCGCTAAGTTTTCCTTGTCTTCAGTAAGACCCTCTAGAGCTAGCTTTAGACTCTCACAAGAGCCACTGAGATTTTGATTTTCCAGTAACGATTTGTCCATTTCTGTAATGAGTTTGTCTCTTTCTTCCTGAAGAAGAGCTAATCTTCCTAAGAATGTATCTTTTTCTTTATTTTGAGCAGAAACTTGACTTTCCATATCTGCTAGAGACTTGGTGAGCTGTTCAATGGTATCTCTGGCCAAAGACAACTCCTCTTGGAGACCTTTGTTTTCTTTCAGTGCTTCTTTTCGGGAAATAAGGGCAGCCTGCAGTTTCCTTTGTATTTGTTGCTTTGCTCTACTTTCTTCTTCAATCTCTTCTGGTTTTTGCTTCATTTCACAAAGTTCTACCTGAAACTGCTTTATCCTCTCATCATGTTCTTTGGCTTGGATTTCAAGCTGTGTATGTAGAGCCTTAATTAAATCTTCTTGTTCTATTATCTCTGTCTGTACTTTAGCAAGGGTTTCTTCTTTCTCTCTAAGTTGTTTAGAAATATTGCTAACTTCTTCTTCCTTTCTGCTTATAAGTTTCTGCAGTTCATCTAGTTCAGGCTGTAATACTCTCAAATGTTCTAAGCCAGCAATTTCTAGTTGACTGCTTTCCAGTTTCTGCTTCAGGCTTTCTGCACGGGCTTCTGCTTCATGGGATGCTGTCTTCAGACTCTGGATTTCTAAATCCTGTTGGTTTATTTGCTCTCGTAACAGAAATACTTCTTCTGATTTTTTGGTAAGCTCACTTGTTGCAGAACTAAATTTCAATTCTAACTGTTCTTTCTCAGTCTCTATTTCTTTCAGTTGGGCCTTAATGTGGGCAATGGAAGTATTACCCTGCAGAGTACTTGTATCTTCAGGATGAGGCCAGTCTGGGTACAAATCAGACTCTAAAACAGGTTGGCTAGGATGCTGTTCTGTGGCTTTGAGTAAAGGTTGTTCTAAACCTTGAGCGGGAGAGCTTGGTTCCTGTGGGTCAGTGGCTGGGTGTTTTTTGTCTAGGGACTCCTGTACTTGAATCTGGAGTTGTGTTAGCTGATCTGCAATGTTCCCCTTCTCCTTGCTTTGCTCATCGAATTGCTCTTGCAAGCGATTATAGTCATCTTTCTGTTGCTTTATTTCCTCCTTAAGATGTCTTTCTTTCTCCTGTGCCTTTTTTAGAATCGCCTTGCGGGAAGTTAAGACTTCCTGTAGCTTCTTTTGAAGTTGCTCCTTTTCTTTTTCAAGGCCTACTATCCTTTCTTCTAATTCTGGTTTCCAGTGTTCTCCACTCCCTGCACCAAGTGGACTGATTGCTGCTGTTTCTTTTACAGGTGCTGCTGAGTCTCCATCACCTGCATCCTTATTACTTGAGGTTAACTTCTGGATAATTGCTTGGTTTTCAATGATTTCTGCTTGCAGCAAATCTATTTGGTTTGTCTTATCTTGCAAGCTCTGACCCATCTGTTTAACTATAGTCTGTAACTCTTCTTCAGCTGCTATCTTTTCTTCCAAACCCTTCCTTACATGTTCTAGCTCCAGTTCTTTCTCAGATATGGTCTGTTTTAAAGACATTTCTATTTCTTGACACTTAGAAGTCACACATTTCTCTGAGTCTTCTTTGTTCTCTTTATCTGCCTCCATTTCCCTCCTCTCACTCTCACTTAGTGGGATCTCTTTCCTAGATTCATCTTTCACTTTGGCTAATTCCTCTTCTAATATACTGACTCTTTGTAGAAGTTCCTTTCTGTTAATAAGAGCTGCCTGGAGCTTTCTCTTTCTCTGCTCACTTTCTTTCTTCAGAAGATCTAATTCATGCTGAAGTTCTTCTTTACTTATTAGCCCTGCTGGGCTCAACTCATCATAATTATGTTTAAGTTCAGAAACAACTTCATTATCTTCTTCTACCTGCTCTTTTTTTGCTTCTTCAGCTCTTGATAATAAATTCAGTTGTTCTTTAAGAGTTTTAATTTCAACCCCAAGAGAAAACTTCTCCTCATTAAGCTGAACCATTTTCTCAGTCATACTAAAGCTGATTTCTGTCACTTGCTGATCCTTCTCCTCTATGGTTTGTTGGAGGGTTTCCACATCTCTCTTTTTCTCTAGTAACAGTTGATCCATCTTTGCTATTTCAAGTTCCTTCTGTGAAAGTGTCTGTAGCAGTTCTTCCATCTTATTTGAGATATCCCTCAGATGTTCTGCCCCCTCAAGCACTTCACTTTCCTTCTTCTGCAGCTGACTTTGCAGGCTTCTTATCAGTGTGGTCTGCTCAGAAAATTGAAGCTGCACATCATCCAGTTCATTCTGTAAAACTTCAATTTTCACATCTTTAGATTTGGCTTCCATGCTGAGACTGTGGATCTGTTCAGTTAGCAGGTTGTGATGAGTTCTTTGGCTTTCATATTCAAGTGTTCTCTGCTTTTCTGCTTCTGCAAGGTTTGTTTCCAGTTGCTCTACCTGAGCCCTCAGTTCTGTTACTACACTAAGTTCCTTCACCTGAGAAAGAAGCTGATCTCTTTCTTCAGACAAAGCAGTGAGCGTACTGCTGGTGTTTTCAGCATTTTTCTTAAATTCCTCAAGTGACTGAGTTAAATTATTAATTTCCTTAGCTTTCTCGTCTAAACTTTTCTCATAGATTTCTTCTGCTTTATGAAAGCTTATCTCAAGCTCCAAAATTTGACTTTTTAATCTTTCCAACTCATCCTGATGATACTGACCAGTATCCGGTATAGCAGAAAGGGATTTATTAACATCATCCTGTTTTGTTGATTTTAATTCCATTCCAATGTCATTTAATGATACATCCTCAGGTGTTCTAGTCTGATGTTTGGTATTCTCCTGTTCTTTGTTTTCAATTGCTGGAAGATTGCTTTCTTCATTTGGCATTGAGGGAAAGTCTTGCCCCCTATCTTCAAGAAATACTTTCATTTTAATTGTAGATATTCCTTGACTTTCTGTCTGTTTCATTTCTGTCTGGTCAAGGACCTCAGGCTCCCCCTCAGCCCTTTTGCCCTGGAGCTGTGATTTAAGAAATGCAATTTCTTCTTGAGCTTCTTTCATTTCCAACAATAAAACTGATAACTCCTTATGTTTCTGAGAAAATGTGCTCTCTAGAACATCTTGTTCATTTTCCTCGGTAGAAGAGCTGCTTCTATTAGGCCTGGTAATATTAACTGTGCTCATCTATTTTTAAAACAGAAAAAAAAAAAAAGCCTTAATCAATTTTGTAATAATATAAAATTGTTAAATCCTTTTAAAATCAGTGTAGACCCCCCAAATTGGACCGCCAAGGGTGCTCTCAATCCTATACTGAGGTTGAGTTCTATTAATAAAAACTAAAGAAACCTGAAATTTATTTTCTAGATATTCCTTATATGTGAAATTTTTTTTTCCCTTCAGACTAAAACTTTTCATTGTTTCTCCTAAGAACTGCTTAAAAATAAAAAGGGAAGCAGGAAATGAATTAAATCTTTGTTTTATCCCATTCCAAGCAGGAAGTTATGGGATTCCTTTTCCTGAACTACCCATTAAAATAGGAAATTCACAAATATTAGATAAAAAAGCCATTAATAGATAAGCAGATTATCAAACACACAGATTCAGATAAAGTACCAGGATCAAAAAATCAAAAAGAAGCTCTGCTGGGGGTTGGGCTAAAATTATGGATCTGTTTGACAAAATATGAACCAAGTTATTATGGAGACTACTGTGTTAGACTGCTCAATCAATAGAAATTATTTCTTTAATTGTTTTCTTGGGGAACAAAATCAGCAAATCTGATAGTAAACTCAACAGCATTTTATTAAAAGAGTTTAGAGATGGCCACAGAATAAAATCTCCACCTTCCCTAATAACACTTTATTCCCTCTGAAAAATATTCAGGAGGAGATGGGAGAAAACGTCAACAAATATAGGACTGTCATATAATGTAGTGGTCAAGAGTACAAGCTCTATAGCCCAATTGACTGGGTGTACATCTTAACTCTACCACTTACTAACAGAAGCTAGCACATAGTGAGTACTGAATGAATATTAATTTTTATCTTGCTATCATTCTCAGCTACTGAGTAAGAAAAAATATTATTTTAGGGCGGCACCTGTGGCCCAAGGAGTAGGGTGTCGGCCTCATATACCGACAGGTGGCAGGTTCAAACCTGGCCCTGGCCAAAAACTGCAAAAAAAAAAGAAAAAATCTTATTGAGCTATTATATTTAGAAAAGTTATCTCATAATTTTTCATAAGTATTATTTTAGTTATTTACAAGTCTTTGCTCTCTGTATTACCCTGTATCATACTCACATTTCTAGAGAGTGAAATTGGACATGGTATTTAGCACAGGGGAAAAGTTCTTCTATAATTTCTTCCTGTCACATGCTTATTTATTCATCCCTATATCCATTAAAGACCTGATGTAGTCAAGGTATTATTTTTGCCAGAGGACGTCAATGCAACTTTTTCTTGTTCTCTTCTTTACTGTAAGTATTCTTATTTCCTCTTTTTTAACTATCTTTCATATCATTCTCTCACTTTCTCCCTTCCCTTGATAACTACACAGTTTAATCAGCTTTTTGGCTTGAGTAAAGAATCAATGTTATCCTACTGAGAGGTAGAGAACAAGAGAACTTCACTCTTTCTGGCCACTCTCATTACTGTTTGTCCTAATACTAGTCTTCCCCTTTCAAATCAGCTTACGCCCTCTATGAACCTTTAATCCCTTTGGCAATTTCTATATGGGTTTTTTCCCTTTCTTTCCCACTGTTTCCTGATTATTTATTCTCTCTTCTGGTTGTTTTTCTCTTTCTTATCACATTCTCCTCTTTCTTATCTGTTCTTTTTCCTAGCTAAGTTATCTTGTTTTCAGGAGACACCATTGCTGAGCATCTTAAAACATTAAGCACCCTATTGATCAAACAAGATTCATTTTTACTTTAGATGCTGATAATTTGTCAGTAACCATATAATACTACAATTTCCAAAATTTAGTCTCCTTTTGACAATTTTGTGAACAGGGCATCAAGAGTCCCATGAAAACGTATTAAATATAAGTGTGATGGTTAAATATAAGTGTGATGGTTAATTTTATGCATTTACTTGGCTAGGCCCTGGTACCCAGATATTTGGTAAAAGATTATTCTATATGTTTCTGTGAAGGTATATTTTAGATGACTTTAATGCTTAAATAAGCAGACTTTTAGTAAAGCAAAGTACCCTCCCTAATGTGGATGGGCCTCACCTAGTCAGTTGAAGGCAGAAACAGAAAAAAACAGAAAAAAAGACTGACCTCCTCAAAAGAAGGAATTCTGCCAGAAGACTGCCTTTGGACTCAAGCTGTAACTCTCCCCTGGGTCTCCAGCCTGCTGGACTACGCAGCAGATTTTAGATTTGCTAGCCTCCACAAATGCATGAATCAATTCCTTAAAATAAATCTCTCCATTTATACATACATGCTATTGGTTCTATTTCTCTGATGCTGATATAATAAGTAAACAGATGCTTCTGTTAAGAAACTGCTTTGTAAACTATTATCCAGGCCATGAGAAAATTAAAAGAAAAAAGAAGCTACATTATTTCTAAAGGCCATTTATGATTCTATCACTGACTTACCGATTGGAAGAACACAAATAGCTAAACACAATACAGCTAATGATAACCTTAAATCAACAGAATATTAAGCAATCATACATTTCTTTCCTTTTTCTTTTTTTTGAGACAGGGTCTCAGTATGTCACCCTCAGTAGAGTGCAGTGGCGTCACAGCTCACAGCAACCTCAAACTCTTGGGCTTAAGTAATTCTCTTGCCTAAGCCTCCCAAGTAGCTGGGAGTAGTGCCCACCATAACGCCCAGCTACTTTTTTGTTGCAATTGTCATTGTTGTTTAGCTGGCCAGGCCTGGTTCAAACTGGCCAGCCTGGGTATATGTGGCTGGCACCCTACCCACTGAGCTATGGTGCTGCCATACATTTCTCATAATAATTTTCAGGTCACCATTCTCCAAAGTTACCCTTTTTATATAGTCACAAGTAAAACTGTGCCAACTGTGGGGGAGGAAGCCCAAGAGATTTTATCTAATGTCTTCACTAAGAAACTCCTGAAATGAACAAAGAAGTTGAGATAAATGATAACTCAGTAGGAGAAATGGGTTACCAAATCACAAACAGCTACTGTACCTGGGTTGGTTTAAGACAAAGATTCAAAATATTCAGAACCAACTGAGCATACTTGGGAAATAATAACCATTATGACTCTATCAAATAGATCTCATACTATAAGTAATATACTTCTCTGTTACCACTAGAAAATAGTAGAAATGGGCCAGGCACAGTGGCCCATGCCTATAATCCTAGTACTCTGGGAGGCCCAAATGGGTGGATTGCTTGAGCTGGGGAGTTTGAGACCAGCCTGAGCAAGAACAAGACCTCAGCTTTACTAACAGAAAAACTAACCAGGCATCAGGGCAAGTGCCTCCAGTCCCAGCTGCTCAGGAGGTTGAGGCAAGAGGATCTCTTGAGCCTAAGAGTTTGATGTTCCTATGAGCTATAACACCACAGCACTCTACCTAGGGAGACAGAGTGAGTCTCTGTCTCAAAAAGAAAAAAAAAAGAAAATAGCAGAAATGTTTAGACTTGAAGCTACCTTCTCTTAATCCAGTTCATGCTCTAGTTTTATGAAGAACCCTTCACTTACCTCACTGACTTCTCTATCTGCCTCCCCAGTTCTATTCTGAGCCTCCAGAAGAATAATCCGAGAAGATAGTTTTTCTGAAAGTCACAAAATAAATATCTTTAAAATACATATGAGTGTTTGAAAAAAAAAGACATAACTGCATGTGAGGTTATTTAAGAGGCATGGAATATGCAAGAGAAAAATATAAACAATATAGTTTTGGGAAGATAAAAGGCTTACTTTATTAAAATAAAGAAGTATAAAGAGAATATGAGATATAAGACAGAATAGTACTAGATAACGATAATAAGCCTGAGTAAAATATACTAAACAGTAGAAGGCTTGAAAGAAGAGGATGCCAGGACACGTGACATGAAGCAGTTATTTCTATGACATAGTTTGGAACTTCTAGGGCAAGAAATTTGCTTTAATTTATCCCTAAGCCTACTTTAATATATTTTATATTAATACAGCACTTATAATGTCTTCACTGCTCTTTCACATATGACATAAATTTTAGCACTAAAAGACAGTTTTCCAGTCTCCTTAAACAACCATATGAGGAAGCAAAGAAATGACATAACCGGCTCGGCGCCTGTGGCTCAAGCAGCTAAGGTGCCAGCCACATACACCTAAGGTGGTGGGTTCAAATCCAGCCCGGGCCTGCCAAACAACAATAATGGCTGCAACCAAAAAATAGCTGGTGTTGTGGTGGGCGCCTGTTATCCCAGCTACTTGGGAGGCTGAGGCAGGAGACTCGCTTGAGCCCAGGAGTTGGAAGTTGCTGTGAGCAGTGAAGCCATGGCACTCTACCCAGGGAGACAGCTTGAGGCTCTGTCTCAAAAAAAAAAAAGAAATGACATAACCTGCAGAGGTTTTTAGAGTTTATAGAGTTCCTGAATAAATAGCCAGAGAAAGCCGCAGGCTTCAGCCATTTCTTAAGGGCAGGACTCTACCCATCTCCTGCTACAATCTAATAATCTCATCACCAAAGAAAGGCAGAGGAGGCAGCTTTTGGACTTTGACATCAGGCTTAGCTTGTTTGTTATCTACCTGGTGCCAAGAAAGAAAGAAAGTTTCTGGACATACCCTGCCAATTTACATCCCTTTCAAATCACCTGACCTCTTGGTCTCTGTCTTGACTTTTTCCTCCTCTTTCCTTGGGATGGCAGACCATTGTCTCCCTGCTCTCTTTTCTTCCTCTCTTTCCCCACTCTCTTTTACTCTTTCTCTCCAAGAAGCTAAAATAAATTTTATACTTTTACATGCTATTTTGAGCGGGGGGGGGAGTCTGGAAAAATCTTCCTCAAAACCACATGCACTAACTCACACCCTAACAGGGATGCTCTTTGTTTAGCTTCTTGTGTGGCTGTCCGCTTTCATCATTCAGGTTGCAAACCCTCTAAGAGGCCTACCCTGGCCCTGCTAATGCTGCCTTCATCTTCCTCTAACTACACCTATAGTACTTTGTTTTATGTTTATCCCAATAGTTGTCATTCTCTTAAATTTTCTTATTATATACATGTTTATCAGGTCTGTCTTCCCTTCTCATGTGTTCATAGCTGTATAACCAGCAATTAGAATGGTGCCTGGCACATAGGAAAGGCACCAGAGATATTTGCTGTATGAAAGAAGGAAGGAAGATTCATGACACAAATGCATTCATATAATATGTTCGGACTTCAAAAGACTGAGAAAGGGGTATAGTGGTAGAAATGGCAGCATGGAAGGTGAGCGGAATAGAATTTGACACATGAAGCAAAGGTAACCTGTGGGACCAGAAGCAAAAACCAATACAGAAAACCATAAGGCCCCTATAGGAAAGAGGAAAAGAACCTCCAAACCGGGTGGAAGTCATATGAAAAGGACAAGGACTGTTTGCAAAATTATAAAATAAGCATCACAGATAAGGTCTCAAAGAAGTGCTTTGAGTGAGTTAAATGATGAGCTGAATTTGTGGTGATCTTTATTTAACAGCAATATGGAAGTGATCTAACAAAAGTGCACAGTCTTCCAATTAGAGCTAAGTGGAAAATTATAAAATGGTTGAGTTGGAAATATTGACTTTAGAGTTTTAATAAAAGTTTTACATTCTTAGTAAAACGTGGTATTCATTCTTACTCCTAGAAGATAAAATGTAGTAATCACTTAATGTAGGATGAATTTGAACAATAAAGCATTATTAACTATATGCTACTAAATCCATAAGGTCCTTGTGAAGCAGAGGATAAGTTGAAGAAGATATATCTTCATTATTACTGTTCTTACACAGTCCTATAGGATGAAACACTATGAAGTTCAATCCAACAAAACTTTATTCAGCAGCCACTGTTTTCCAGGTATTATACTAGTCTAGGTAAAACAAAGATGGAAAAAAAAAGATCTAGCCTTTGAAAAGCTTATACTTTATCTTTGATGAGCTTATAATAAGAAAAGACAAATACATAACCAGATGGTTTTAATACAACACTAAAGGTATATAAGGATCTTATGGAAGCACAAAAACATATTTAACACAACCTTTGGGGATCAGGGTCAAAATCTTGAAAAAGATAATGCATTAACTGGGGCCTGAAAGATAAGTAAGAATCAGCCAAGCTGAAGGACAGGGGTGGGATTCTAAGCAGGGTATGGTATGAAAAAAACCCCAAACTAAATGGTTTCTACCTTTGAACTTTACTGATATCTATGACCTTATCCCACAAATTTATTATCAGAATGTCCCTTCTTTCATTTGACCTATTAAAAAATTCATCATCTTATTACGGTCCTGCTCAATCCATACTTCCTATAAAATACTTTGACCATATTAAAAAATTAAAAGTAAATATTAAAAAACCTGAAGTACTTATAGCCCATATTACAAAATATTATACTTATGTTAAACACTAGTACTATACTCTTAACTGTTTAATATATATCAATCTTACCTTTGGTAATTACCAGCTCTTCTATCTAAATCTTTATTATTACAGAATCAGAGAATTATATATTTATAATGATAAAAATAGAGGCAGTTGTGGGATTAGAAGACAGAGAATTATGTTTTTCACTTATACATACCGTTCTCAGATTTCAGCTCCTCCAGCTCTATAGAACTAAGGAGCAGGGCTCCCTTTTCATTCTCTAGTTCTACCACTCTCTTCTGCAAAGAGGCAAGCGTCTCCTCAGTGTCTGCCTAAATTGTAGAAAGACAATAAATTAATGATTCTCCAGGAAAAACCTCTTACACTAATGCCCAGTATTTTTGTCTTCTAAAAATTCTTCAGCCATGAAGATGATATAAAATAGCATCTATATATCTGCCTAGGTAATATTTGAAGAAAGTTTTTCTACCTGAAGATAGAAAGAGAAATAAAATATTTCACACAAATATCAAGTTCACTGAGTTTTGAATATAAGATTGAAGGCTGGATTGCAAAGATAGAAATCCCAAGTCTACCACATAAGAAAGAACATTTTCAGGTCCACAAATAAATAATATTTTATATATTAATGGCACCAAGTAACATGTAACACAGTCTCTCTACCAAGGAGAAGGAACATAAAGAGAATCTCCCCACAGAGGAACAGAGGTAAAAATAATACATACCTTTTTTAAAAAAGAACAGAAAATTCTTATTTATTTATTTATATATTTAAAGAGACTAGCTCTCACTTTGTCATCCACATTGAAGTGCAGTGGCTTTCTCATGATCACTATAACCTCAAAGTCCAGCGGTCAAGCAATCCTCCTGCCCCAGCCTCCCTAGTAGTTGAGACTAAAGACTTTTGCCATTATGCCTATCTTTCTTTCTTTTTTTTTTTTTTTTTGTAGATGGGTTGCCTGGCATTAAGTGATCTTCTCACCTTAGTCTCTTGAAATGCTGGGATTACAGACATGAGCTACTGCACCAACTCTTGGAGAGTTTAGTTTTCCTAATGGTAGATGTATAATTATGCCACATGTTTAATTTTTTTTTTCTTTAAGGAGGTCCAGGCCAAGTTCAAACCCAGCCCAAGACCATGTGGCTGGCACCCTAACCTCTGAACTACAGGTGCCCGCCCACATGTTTAATGTTTTAATGTATTTTTATATACTTTTATTATTCAAGGAAATTATTCTACACAATTTTCATAAAATTATAGAAATTATGAGCCATGAGGCTCTTTACAGCACACCTGAGCCCTAACCTTCATTTGATGTTTAAAGAAACAGCAAAGGGGCCAAGAGTGGTGACTCATGCGTATAATCCCAGCACTTTGGAAGGCCAAGGTAGAAGGAAAGCTTGAGGCTGGGAGTTAGAGACCAGCCTGGGCAACATAACAAGCAGCTGCCTCCATAAAAAAATTTTAAAGTTGGCTCAGCGCCTGTGGCTCAGGTGGCTAGGGCGCCAGCCACATA